GAGGCTCGTCCTCCAATGAGCGAGCGCTACGCGACACGTCTGCTCTGCGTCGCTCTCAGCGAAACAATGCAGCGTCGCGCGGCCTCGCGGTCCCCCTCGATGTTGGTAAGAAGGTTATGCCTGTCCTTCTGCGCATGCCCAGTCATGTGCGTTTGTGCGTATGTGTATGTGTGTGTGTGTGTGTGTGTGTGTGTGCATGTGTATGCACGTGTGTGTGTGTGTTTATGCGTATGTGTATGTGTGCACGTGTATGTGTGTGTTTGCACGTGTGTGTGTGTGTTTGCACGTGTGTTTGTGTGTGTGTTTGCACGTGTGTTTGTGTGTGTGTTTGCACGTGTGTGTGTGTGTGTGTTTGCACGTGTGTGTGTGTGTGTGTGTGTTTGCACGTGTGTGTGTGTGTGTGTGTTTGCACGTGTGTGTGTGTGTGTGTGTGTGTGTTTTCACGTGTGTGTATATTTGCTCGTGTGTATGTTTGCACGTGTGTGTGTATACACGTGTGTGTGTGTGTGTATGTTTATGATGTGTGTGTTTAGATTGGTGTGTGAGTGTGTGTATGTGTGTGTGTGTGTGTGCTGACGTAAAGCTTTTCAATCCCAAAGCAAATAAGTGAATTTAGGAATAAGCAAAAAGCACATTGATTAAAGAAGATTAATGTGAACTTTGTTTACCACTGAGCTGGCTTTTATATAACTATATTTCTGTAATTTTATGATTGTTTGTCATGGACATTTTAGACAGGATGTTACTGTATTCATAGTTAGAGGATACAAAAAATTGAACATTGTCGAAACCAAACAACTTTTAGAAGATAGTAAAGAAAAATAAGAACAAAATAAGAACAAAAACAAAACAAAAATCTGATCTATATCAAGGTTTCTCGTCCGTTGATTCATCACAGAAATACAGATAGATAACACCATAATTGGAACAGTGGCCCCTGCAATGGTAAATAGAAAACGGGATTCTAGGGAGGACCAAAATATGAAAAATAAAAGAAAATCATTTTTTCTTGACAAGTCGTCCTTTGACCTGACAGGAAGTTCTGTAAGCAAGGTCATGTTAGTGATGTGATTGATTTGTCCCGGAAATATATATGGATATGGATACACACACACACACACACACACACACACACACACACACACACACACATATATACATATATATATATATATATATATATATATATATATATATATATATATATATATATATATATATATATATATATATATATGTATATTATATATATGTATATATATATATATATATATATATATATATATATATATATATTATATATATGTATATATATATATATATATATATATATATATATATATATATATATATATATATATATATGTGTGTGTGTGTGTGTGTGTGTGTGTGTGTGTGTGTGTGTGTGTGTGTGTGTGTGTGTGTGTGTGTGTGTGTGTGTGTGTGTGTGTTGATAAAATGCATACAGATAAGTGAACGATATTGAAGTCCTGGAAAACTCTTTATTTTGAAAGATTCAAATCATACTTTATTTCGAAAATCACGCTTAGTGGCACCGACACAGTAATATGAAAAAAAAAATACTGATATATTTTTTTAGTATGTATGGTTATTTTACGTAGCATCTATGGTGTTTATTTTATTATGAACTGCTGAAAGTATACATAAACACAGATGAATATAATATCAATCTATGATATATAACTACACGAAAAATGCAAACTGCAAGAACGACAAAATAAAATAATAATAATATTAATTATATATAAAGTGAAAGTACCAGTTGACCTAATATTTCACTAGGCCTAATGATTCAGTATGTCAACTTGCTTAGCTAAGTTTCAACGAATTCTTGTAAAATAGTATAAATGTTGATGTTGCGTATAATTAATATTAATTAATATTTTCGTCTTGAATCTGCAAAATATAAAAATAACTCTTCCGCTAAAGATAGCGTAATAACCCCCCCCCCCCTTCATAAAAACACCCTACAACAAAAACTATATGTATATGATATTTATCACACCATACATTCACTCGGATAAGACAAAAAAAAACCAAAGGATAAAACATAATATATAGAAAATAGTGGGAAATAACGGAAATATATATATATATATATATATGTATATATATGTGTGTGTGTGTGTGTGTGTGTGTGTGAGAGAGAGAGTGTGTGTGTGTGTTTTTAACACCATAACATATATCATACCATACAATCACTCGGATAAGACAAAAAAAAAAGTACCCAAAGGATAAAACATAATATAAAGAAAATAGCAGGAAAAGGAAAAAAAAAATAGCGCAAACATGCTCGCCCCAACAGGAATTTGGTGGTGTTTACGATGACTTCCTGATGAGCGAACGGGAACCTGAGCTATTTTGGCAGAAAAGGGGCCGTCGTTCTGCCGTATCTTGGAAGAGAGTGGGTGGATTAGAATGTTAAAGTGTTGTATTAATGACTTTATGGTTTTGTGAGGAGATGCAAGGGCTGTAAAGT